TGGCAAGATAAATCGATATGTAAAAAAATTCTTGAATTCTAATAACCACACGTAGGTGTTAACCTTATTTTGTCACTCAGTATACATCCATCAACTTTCTAATTTCTTAAATTATCGACATTTATTCCTGGTACAGCGTAAAGTCATAACATATTTTCATTTCGGTCGCATTAATAGTTTTGAAGAAAATTGATCACGTGGAACATTTTATTGTCCTGTTCCTTCTCCATAAGCCTCATACGACCATAAATATTGTCAATGCATCCCAAAGAATGACCCCATAAGTTCATGCTTAGAGAACATCCTGTATGCACACTTAAACATCGACAAACACACGCACCTTTGGCTTTAGGACCTAATCCATGCAGCCAGAAACTAGGTTGTTATATTTTACATTTCTAATTTATGGACAAACACACGACGTCACAACATCCATGGCCAAGGCGAGATTCGAGCTCGCGGCCCGGCCGACCGGCTGATCAGTAGCACGACACTCTGACCCACGCGGCCAACCGAGGTCCCCACACACCTTTTAATAGCGAGGAAGTATTGCAATCTCTAAATCTTCGTAAAATACATGCTGTTTAGATGCTATATGACATCTACAGCACGAAAAACTGTGTCGCTCATTTCAGTCGGTCGGTCTTTCTGCTTGTAGGTCTTTCCGCCTTTCTGTCCGCTAATCCTTGGCCTGCATATAACTTAGAATGTAAAGCCTGGCTTTTGATAAAATTTCCACACAAGATTCCACTATATACAAGGTGTAAACGTTATGGTAGTCATTATTGAAATGGGTAATAGGCGGGGTCAAAACAAGTCAAAAAGTTTGTATGACCCATAGTCCAAAAGTCATTAGATTTTTGTCTAAATGGCTTTATAGTTAACAAATTTGGGTGCTTTATGTCGACCACAATCACCACAATGTTACTAATTTTTATAATATAATCTAAAACGTTTTTAAATTTAGTAGTTAACAAATAAATGGCATTAAGTTTTCCTAAGTTAAGCCAAAATTTGCAGTCAGTAAGTTTCATTAAAGTAAATATTTGAAACACACATGACAACAGCGCGTGGATCTTTCATCACTCTTATCGAACCGGCAATCGATCGGAAACGGTAACAGTGGTTAGTTATCGTTTTGCATAGATAAATTGCTTTATCGTTTTGTCGAGCAGAGCATCGGGCGTGTTGTTTTATTTTTGTTCGCATACGTCGTCGTGTTTATTCACAATGTTCTCGAATCAAGAGTTCGCCGACATGTTGTTAGTTTACGGTGAAGCTTGTCAGAATTCAAATCTTGCAGCTCAAATTTATCGCGACAGATTTCGCCAACGAGTACACCCAGACAGAAGGACATTTGTACAAGTGTACCAAAGACTTCGAGATACAGGAAGTGTTCACTAATATTCGCATTCGTCAATGACAGGTTACTGTAGAGCAGGAGGAACACATTTTAAATATCGTGAAAATCAATGCAGATGTCAGCACTAGAGATTTAGGCCGCCGCGTAGGACTATCGCATACCATAGTCCATGGAATCCTACGTGAAAATTTGCTTTATCCCTACTTTGTACAACGAGTGCAGGACTTGTTGCCAACAGGCTAACATTCTTTCAGTGGTTTTTGCACAAAAACATTAAAAATTCGGATTTTTTAAAAAGATTCTAGCGACGCACGAATGTACTTTTACGCGAGACGGGATATTAAATTTCCATAATACTCACACGTGGGCCCAAGAAAATTCTCATACCATTCGTGAAAGTCATTTCCAACTACGTTTTAGAATAGGGCGGGTATTCTTGACGATCAGGTAATTGGCCCTTTCGAGTTACCCACAAAGTTGTCAGGAGTGGATACCTTAGCTTTCTAGCCAATAATCTACCAGAACTTTTGGAACAGACCTTAGACAACATGCCAGTACAACGGAGACAGAATATGTGGTTTCTTCATGACGGGGCACACATTTTTAGAGCCGTCATTCAGTATTTAAATGAACATTTATCCAAATCGCTGGATCGATCGAAATGCTCCTAATCCTCGAAAATGGCCAGCATGATCTCCTGGCCTCAATCCGATGGATTTCGAGGACCTAGAGTAAGAAGAAACTGGGTTCGTCGTAATGAGGCTTGTGTGAAAAGTGTAGGACGACATTTTGAACACCTTCTTTAAATACAAAAAGGTGCAGAGTGGGTTTCAAAAAGAAAAACAATGTATGTATCAAAATTGTGTTCCCTATTTATAAGTTGATTTTTTTATGTTCAATAAACTTTCACACACCAGGTGAAGTACGAAGACAGTTAGTGGTAAGTCCGTTTTTTTTAATTGTTTGCATTTTACGAGTACATTATCAAATAAGTGGTAAGTCCGTTTTTTAATTGTTTGCATTTTAAGAGTACATTATCAAATAATGAAATAATACCTAAGAGCCAAAAATAACAAACTCCATCTTTATTTACACTGCGTTCCGTCGTAATTTGGGTCTGTCATTGCGGCGCGGTCAGATTTTATTTTACTTTAAAGTCGCTTTACTCTTAAAAAATGCCGTTTTGACCCCCATGTTATATGAAACTTTTTGCTCCTTTTAACCCTCTCTATCACGCATTTAAATAATGACTATGATAACGTTTACACCCTGTATAAAACGAAAAGGCTTTAGAGTTTTTTGAAATCGCTGAAACTTCGATTCGCCATCTCCTGGTCATTTTAAGAAAAAAATTATAGGATTTAACAATGGAAGGTTCAGGGTTCTATGCAGTATAAGGACTTATTTCACACATCATCAATATGAATCCATATTTTCAACAGACGCATCACATATCGGTGCCGGTTGCCCGGCAATGCTACGATGTACACAGCTTACCGCTGGAGCTGGCTAGTAGCATGGCTGGCTGGTGTGGTTCAGTAACGTTGCCAGATGGTCTATACCTCCAGCAGTGTAGGGGAAAAGACTTCTAGATCGCAGCATCATCGAATTACTGGTGCTATAGACTAATTGTTAGGGCTTGTTTGGCCGACTTGATCCATTCAATTTTTCGGCTGTACATATTTGAAGCTAACTTTTTTCTTAGATGGAATAACCTTCTTATATACAAATACGATTTTATACTTTTTTGAAAGTTCCGGGCTTTTGCTGTTCCAGTTGAGAAGAAATCTAGGATACCAACTCTTATCTAAAAAAACAAAAATATTACGAGTATACTGGCATTGCAGCTCTTAAAGGCAATACGCATAGTTCGTTCAATTCATCAAAACCGCTGTTCCCAGTGTACCTATCCCAACTGATAACGACACAAACATCTTCTATTTATTAACAGCGATGTAACAACTGGGAAACGGGCAGACGAGTAAAATAATCAATAAAAATGTGTTCAAAACAACATTGCATTTAGCATTGATAAGTCCGTCGCACCAACGTTTCCGCTGCAGGTCGGTTGCTCCATCACCTTTCATGTTTTAAAATTTCGATTCTGATAAGAAAAATTTAATATATCAGCCGACTATACAGCTGCTCGCAGTAAACATTTCTGCGCTTCTATTCAAGAAGCTGACTGAAATTCCACAAAACGAGAGCATAACATCTTGATCTACTTTTTGCGCTCTTTGGATAGTTCGGGCAGCTGGAAATACTGAAAGGTCACAATGCCAGCCGTAGATTAGAAAATCCTGAATGAGGAAACTTCATATTGTACAAGCCTGATTTCAATGTTACTTCCCAAGAATAAGCGGGAGCAGTATTGCGATCGGAAACACTTGCAAACTAATAAATGGCGTCTAGCCGGGTGACCTTGCACTTCCTATGCCGTCATGAGGTCATAAAGGAAGTTTAGCGGAATTTAAATCTTTTGAGAAAAAGTTAGCTACGAGCATGTAGGGGAGACCGAGTAATGTTGAAACAATGTTCATACAACGGCACATAACTTCATAAATAAGTAGTAGCCTACAAAGTTTAATACACTATATGAAACCTTGCTTACTTGGCTGATGAATAATCAAAATAAAATACGTCACTGTTTACTTCTTGTTTAAAAAAGTCGATTATAAGTTGATCATTAACTTTGTTGCACTCTCCTCTTACTGAGGTAAGTTGAAACAATACCTAGCAGAGTTGAAACACAATTATTTGGAAGGATTTGAGACCTTGAAATAAGAAACAACAAAGAATATAAAAAAAAGTAAAAAAGAATAATAAATGATACAAAAATATCCTAATTAAAGAAGCAATTATGGCACACGTAAAACAAGTCGCCTTTTGTACAGGCCAAATGAGCCCATGACTTGCATTCTATACACTGAATCCATTCTTCCTTTGGGACACTTTGGGAAAACGGCTCCATACAAACTAGGCAGAAGCAGTCATCATCGTCACAGTCGCTACTTTCTTTCTCACTTGTTTTTCCTTTCTTCTTGTAATTCCTCCTTGTGCTAACGAGTTTCTTAGTTTTACTTTCTAGGCCTAGCGCAGGTCTTTTTACTTTTTGGTGTCTCTCCTATCTTCTCCTGTTTTGCGTATTCTTCCTAGCCCCTGCCTTCGGTAGTGGTCTTATTGGTTCAGTAAAACATACACTGACTGCAGTAATTACAGTGGATGTATTTGAAGTTGAAGAAACCTTAATAATGGTTACCGACTTAATAGATGTCTTCAAAGTTGATGGCACAGAATAAAGTGAAGATGATACTTCTGCATTTTCATCAGTATTAGAAACAGTCGTATTATAATAGGGTAAATAATTGATCAGTGGGCCTGGACTTCGTTTGGCTTCTCTGCTGGTCCTTGGAACTTGAGGTTTATCATATTGGATAACCGAACCTTCGTGTACAACTGTTGGTGGCAGTGCTCGATCGGTCACCCAACTGGTCAAAAACTCCTCTTCACGAAATATTTCAGTGTTCAGTGGCCATATCTCGCTCGTCCGGAATCGTGCAGTTACATTTTTTTATGGTGATTGCTATATCAAAGGCAGTTTTGACAATTTCTAGAATGTCATATGTATTGTCATTACTTTTCCTGTGTGTGAACGCATCCAGTTATCGCATGTTGTGTTAATGGCTTTTTTTTTACAGTGCCAAAGATAGCTCGGTCCATGGGCTGAAGTCTGTGGGTACAATGTGGTGGAAACGTCAACAGAACGATTCCATTTTCCTTGCAAAAGTTGATGGTTTTGACAGCGATGTGCAAAGCATGACTATATAGTAACAACAAAACCGGATTTTCTTTAGAAGATCGGACGTGATTTTTAAAGAAATAAAAATCATCTTCTTGCATTGGCTGTTGCAATGGACCTACTTGGACCATCACGACTAAAGTGGTCGTTAAAAGCTTACCGGGAAATATTAACATTGGTGGAATGCAATTTCCTATAGCATTGCCAGCTAATGCTAGAGTAACTACGAGTAGACTACCTCTTTCTGCAGAGCTCATGGCACTGACTTTTGACCTCGGCATGCAATAACACGGTCAGGCGTTTCGATAGTAGTTATGCCCGTTTCAACATTGCATTTGCTTCTATATGATATTTGTCAAGTATTAAACTATAATTCCTAAAAAATAGCTCCACGTTGGTTCTATTGAAAGCGGTCGCTCGAGCAATACTTCTCGCTTGTAGCGTTTAATAAACAATCTGATCCAAACTTCACCAGCCATTTCGGTTTGCGTCCATCTTGGAAGTGCACTTTTTGCCATATGCCACATCAAGGCTATAGCAAGATTTCTTGCTTCTTTTGTACTCAACTTAAAATCGGTATCAGAACAGGTCAAAATGTATCCACACAATGATTTTTCTTCGTCTTTGGTAAACACTGGGCAATGATATCCATTTGAGGGTGATTGGATGGTCTTATTGCAAAATTAAACACAACGAGGTAAGTGGAAACAGGCTGTTTCAACTCTCCTAGGGTATAAAAATCTGCCGCCATTATGGTCGAGCCGGCATTACCTCGTAGTGCAAATAATACAGTGCAGAAACTTTGCGACAGTTTGTATCCTGAATGATTAAGCTTTCAAAAAACATACAACACATATAATAAAGCAGTATATTAATCAAAATATTGATAAAGATGAAATATGGCAAAAACTTACTTTTGTTAATTTTTTCACATCACATTTGGTAACGGTGTAAGCTTGGACTGGGATGCGGCAACGAAACCTGCACTTGTCTGTAGGTGGCAGCAGAGGCGAATAAGCGTCGTTGCCAGCTCCCTAATGTTTTTGGTTTTCACAAAAATTCTGTTGTTTCAACTTACCTGTGTTTCAACCCTCCTCGGTCTCCCCTACAACAGAGGATTTAAACGGACTAAGTCGGTAAAAGAGGTCCATACAATTACTCCATTAACATTCTTTCCCTGCCCTACCGGTAGTTACCGTCCATCTGGCAACGTTGTCAGTTTCCACATTTGCGCAGTACGGATATTTATCGTATTTACCGTGGATTATGGGAAACGGAAGTGACAGAATATTCGATCGCCGAGATGTGTTCCATATCCAGCAGGTATAGCAATTGCTGAACAAAGAACTTCTAACGGATTGTTTCACCTGCACCAAAAGACTTTCAAATATATTTCATATAGAGGATGTTTGATCGCTGACACGACTATCTGCTCAGAGCCTTAGAATTTGTTCCATACTAGTATGAACATTTTCATAATGAGATTCGCAGAACGTGCTGTATGATTCAGATCAGAAGTTGCTTATCGGTTGGCCTTGTAAAAGATACACTTCACCCGACAGTGTACAAAAATACAAAGAAATGCTATCGCTGCGTACATTAATGAAATAAGATAGGGTTTGTAAAAATATACTCCTGTCTACGGATTCACGGATTGTATTACTCTGGGATATGGACAAAAACCTACAAATGGGAATTGCGCCCTAATAATAAATCATTTTCGTCATTTCACTTCACGATGATCAATTTTGAACATCAAATGTAAAGTTTGGCAAACGGATCTGCAACATCGGGGTATCGGTGAGGGGAAAGCAAAACATGGCTGGTTTCATTCATAAAATGCCAGCGGCGTGCGGTATTTTATAAAAGTTTGGGATTATTTCATAATTGGTTTAAATTTAGTAAACTATACGTTTATGTTTCACTTTAAATTTGGGGAGTATCTCAATAAGCCCACAATGATATGGAGCATTGTCCATAATAATAAATAAAGTCTCGGGTAAACTCAAAAATAGCTGTTCTCTACAATCTACACCATGTAAAAAAACACTTGAGTTTGTTTCTACACTTCAACAAACGGAAAAATGTCTACTCACTTCCCAAAATTGCCACAATTCAAAAAATCATGATAACTGCGCGATTTAAAACCTAAATCAAGCTAGCGTTTTTGTCAAAGCCGTAAATAAAATATATTTTTCAAATACTAATAGATACTTAACGTGGTTTTTTACCTTGAGAATATATATATATATACATCCGTGATCTTATAATATGCTCATTTACTTTAAAAAGTGCCACAAGCCGAAACATGACGAGAATTAATTGTTATTTTATAATCCGCATCTTTCTGGATTCCTATTGTTGCAATTTTGGACTGTTGATGTGGATATTTCTAGAGCATCGGTGTCGCTTAAATAGAAACAAAGAACTTTAAACACATTTCATATCCGTTTAACTTATAACCTCTGTAATAAATAATACTTACATTATACAGCATTTCAAAATTACATTTCACCTATTGAATTAGCATTGGTGTTCGTCAACTTCATCATTATAATCATCGTCACTGTCGTCATCAGTTTCGCTGTCGTCATCTTGCCCTATAGTTATTATAACTGGTTCCATTTCCTCCATAAATTGATCATTTTCCCAAAATTTATCTTCAATGTCCCTAGCATGTTGACAAAATTTCTGCCAATCATTAATGGATATTAAGGACATCGCTTCCTGAGTAAGCTAATTCTATTGGGTTTAGCTCGCATAAATAAGGAGGTGTTCTTAGAGGAGTATGTCCATGTGATCTTATGATCCGATCAACTACATAATTTTTTTGGTTGTCAGGGGGCTTATGAAGTAAGACCAGATCGAACAAGTCAAATTTTCTGGCAGTTGCCTCATGATTTATGCCTATAAAATATTTTATTATATACGTATAGTTTGATATGTACATGCATGTTTTGAGTCATAAGTACCTTTCTTTGTCAACCAGGCCATTATATCTTTTTTCGAAGATGATTGTGTCGGGGTTTTATTTTCCTGGACGGAATGATATGGAGCATTGTCAAATACTATAACCGAATTGGCAGGTATATTCGGGAGGAGTTTTTCTGTGAGCCAGCGTGTGAAATTTTCCCGATTCATCTGACCGTGGTAATCGCCTGTAGCTAATCCCGCCTTAAATATCAAACAGGCATTGTCAACAAATCCATTTTCTGAACCTGCATGCACTATAATGAGTCGACCTAAAATATACAAGACGATTATATAATATGTTACAAATCAGAGTTAAATTTAACATATATATAGCATTTTTGGTTACCTGTAGAACCTATACTGCTTATTACACCAGAAACAGTTTCGCTCTGCTAACATTTTTTGAAAGTCAAGTCATTGTCCACCCAGGTTTCGTCCAAATAAACTATATTGCGCCCTTCTTCACGATATCTACGTATTTCACGGATGTATTTGTACCTCCATTGCAATATATTGGGCCTCTCCATCAAAACTTTTCTTTTATTTTGACATTTGCGCCAAAAAAAACCATTTGATGTTAATAAACTCCTGAGTGTTTCCCTAGAATAGGGGAAATTTGAGTCTTCTCGCAACTTTTGTAATAACTTCCTAGTTGTCGGGACAACTTTATATTCAAGATAAAATCTGTTTATCAAATGTCTAATAATCTGAAAATCAAAATCTTCATCTTTCTCAACAAGAGACTGACGCGGTCTTTTTTTTCCGGGACTGGATAACATTTTATTCGGGTTATTTTCTAGTCTTTCTTTATCTTCGTTATGAATTTTCCTAACAGAAGATACTCCGACTCCGGTATAAAGGGACACCCTATCAAGCTTACGTTTAAGCGGTAACTTGAGGGAATTGTTTGCCGCTTCCTCATCGCAAACCCTATAAATAATCATCAGAATGTTAGCTTAGCATTTCCTTGTTTTTTATTTATATTCAGACTCAGTCGTCAAAAACTACAATTATTGCATATTATTATTACTAACCTATAAACATTCGCAATCACTTCTCTTGTTTGGCTATGTAGCGTCATTCCGCGAGTAAATTGGTTCATTTTAAAAAATAATACTGAAACGAATAACAATATCAAATAACAAAACACTAAACTATTCAAAAACACACAGCACTAAAGATACAAACTTAATAGAACAATAAATAGTTAACAATAATAGTTGTCACACGACAATCAACGGAGATAAAACCTACGGCACTGGACTTTTCAATAGTATGGATATTCTAAGAAAGGAGCAAAAAATTGTCTGGGACACTACCCAATAGGGAGTCGAATTTTCTCATGGCGACAAAATATGTGAGGATATCCGCCAATCAGATTCGTTTAGGCGGTGTCCAATATACCTTTCGGGTGGTTGTTGCCAGCTCAACCGATGTAGATAAGATCTTTGGAAAAATGTTTACTTATAATACGATTCAGTAGTAAAAAATAGTTATTAAATACAAATAGAGCTAACAACCCATTAAAATTCTCAGTATTTTGAATTATTATTTTTTGGAATTGTGAAAAATCGATTTTCAAATCATTGAAATTACTTTTATTATTATTATTGCTTTTTTGTAGTTAAATTTGGCAATATCGAATATTTTCGGTCGCATTCCTTTCGCTGTTGCAGATCCGTTTGCCAAACTTTAGATTACTTTTGCTATAAAACGTTAGTAGGACACAGCAATGGAAACCATGACGAAATGATATGTCTTATAATTTATTTACACTAGAATTTAGAGATAAAATATTACTACAAAATTACCCGAATAGTAAAAACTTTACGAAAAAGTCATAAAGGATCGAAAGCCAAAGATCAGGGATATTTTCTAGTTTTCAGTTATAACTCCGTCGCCACTGTACGGATTTTCAACTCATGCTGCTTGGTAATAATCTTATTGGAAATTTTACCGTCAAAATCTGAGCGGTAAACTTTTGATAATCTCCTATGTCTCGCCGAATCAAACCACAGAAATACAGGGTGGCCAAAAAGAAGGTTTACCACTTTATGATGGAATATTTATTCAATGAAGTAAAGTATAAATTTTGTTTATTTATAACTAGGTAGCTTAACATTGAGAGTTACGTGTGAAAAATATGGTCATCTAAGGGGCCGCCCCTAGCTGCGTGACATATACCTATCCTTCTTATGGCATTATCCATCACCTTTTGGAAAGTTTCAGCGATATTTCACCTATAACTTCGCGAATGTTGCCTTCAAGTTGTTGAATATTTCGTGGACTGTTTGCGAATACCATACCA